CCTCGGTCGGCGTCCGACCGCAAAATCAGCGCCAAGATTGCGAATCGACAGGGCCGCATCGCCAGCATATTGGCCAAGCACAGCCTTGGCCCGATCGAGCAGAGCGGCCCGATTAGTCACGGTCGCAAACTTGCGCAGGGCGAACCTAAGCCCAAGGCGATCGTGGAAAAAGGAGGTGAGGCGAGGGAAGGCGATGGTGAGGGAGGCGAGGCATCCATCCATCGTATCGTTGATAATAGTGAGGCAGTTGTCATCTATAAATATCCCGAGATCGGAGTCAGGAAGAGCGGGGGCAAGGTCACGAACGCCAGGGACCATGAGTGCCTTGACTTCATAGGTCGCGGTACTGCTCCCAGCCACCATGAGACGGATAAACAACCCGAGATGCTGCCCCTTCGATGGTAAGAAAGCTCCCCCACAAATACATATTAATAACTGCCCTAAGAGCAAACAAAGGATAGTCGGCAAGCTCCGCTTCCCGCTCCAGCACATCATGGGAGATATTCTCGTAGCACCGCTGCAAATCACCAAGCACAGAGATAACACTCCTATCTTGGGAATCAGCGAGGATCGATCTTCTGGAAACACGCCAAATTCCGTCCGTGGTGTGCCTGTGGGGGGCCATGTAGAACTCCTTGGCATCCAGGACCGATTTCTCCCACAACCGACTGTGAAGGGCGAGCGTTTTGGAGTACAGCCGAACCAAACTCTGAAAAAATCCGATAGGTCTGAGGTCTCCAGAGGGTTTAGGAAACATCTGAACGCGAAGAATCTGAACATCTGTAGGCTGGGTTCCCAATATATTCATAAGGGTAAATAAACTGCTCAACGCATCCAGGCCCTCGGAACATAGGTGAGAATAATGTCTAGGGTGAAAACCTTCAACAGCAGTAGTGGAACGAGGGAAGGCTTGGGAGAGCTCGCGTAGCCGATCGGCAGCAGGGGCCACGGGCACAGGTAGGCCGGCCAGGTCTCGAAAACGTCGAACCTGCTTCGGCACCTCAGCCCAAGCCTGGCCCCACTCGCGAGCATGGTGATCGAGCCTCGCATCGATACTGGCAGAGGGGCCGTCAGCAATGGGAACATGCTTGAAACAATGATCGGCAGCAAGACGCGTAAAAGCATGTCCCCACTTAGCACCACCTGCCAACGCGGTCTCGCACCACTCATTCCAAGACGCACGCTGGTCAGCACGATCTTTGGCCAGCAGCTGACGGGCGCATAGCCTAGCATCCTGTCCTCCTCCTGCATCTCGTCCTCCGTGCCATCGCCTCCTCCTCCTCCTCCTCCTCCTCCTCCTCCTCCTCTCGGGTGATCGTTAGAGGGGTCACTACTAAAGGGGACGTGTCATCGAGGGTGTCAGGAAGGGGCCCCTGGGGTCCCCCAAAAAGCCCTTCAAGGCCCGAAATGTGCTTCTTTCTTGACCCCCCCTTTCAGATCTACTAACCCGGGTCAGTCAGACGCTGCAAGATCCTGCAATGTCCTGCAGGATCCTGCACCCAAGCCCAGGTCAGTGCAACCTTGGCTCTGCAAGATCCTGCAAGATCTGGTGCTCTGACTGACTTCCGTTTGCATTGACCTCCGTCTCCTGAGCCCCAGCCCTGTATGAACCCCGCTTGCCGACCACCCGACCTCCGTTGCCAACTACCCAGGGCGCCGGCGACTGAGGCTGAGGTGCTGCTGGGGCGTCCGCCATGTCGAACGCATCGAAGGGATTAGGATCAGTCCTCCCCTTCCCTCCCTGGGCGAGGAGGATCAACGAGTGGGAAGGTGAGAGTAGGGAGGAGGAAGATAGGAGAGAGAAAGAGAGAGAGAGAGATATAGAGAGAGAGAAAGGAGAAGGAAGAGGAGGAGGAGGAGGAGGAAGAGGAGGAGGAGCAGGAGGAGGAGGAGGAGGAGGAGGGAGGGGGGGCGAGGAAGAGGGGGGGGGGGAACCGGACGATGAGGACGAGGAGGGGGAGGGACGAGGAGGACGAGGACGAGGAGGACGAGGAGGGACGACGAGGGACGAGGAGGACGAGGACGAGGAGGGACGAGGACGAGGACGGGGGGGACGAGGCCGCCAAGACGCCCCGCGACAGCCATCAATCTAGTTGTCGGCTGCGTGAGCGCCGATTGCAACATTGTCTTGGAGGCAACGCCGATTCTCTTCGTTCCAACCTTCTTGCTGTTGCCCCCTTGATTGCTCGGGGGCCCGATGACAGGCCCCGATGGAAACAGCACATGGAAGAATAATGATCGAACAACGCCGAAGAAGCCCAGGCACACACACAAACACAAACACAAACACACAAACACAAACACAAAAACACACAACCACAACCACAACCACAACCACAAACACAGACACAACCATACACACACACGCGCCCACACGCAAACACAAACACAAGCACACACACAGTCACAACCACAGCCACAGCCACAACCACAACCACACACAAACACTCACACACACGCACACACAAACAACCACACAAACACACAAATACACAAACACAACCACAATCACACCAAAACAGACACACACAGACACAGACACACAAACAACCACACAACACACAAACACACAAAACACAAGCACTCAACAACAACAACACCAACAACAACAGCAGCAACAACAACACAAGCACACCAGCACACCAACATACAAGCATACATACGCACACACAATCACACACAACATACGCACAAAGGCACACAAACACACATGCACAAACACACACACACACACACGCACAAACGCACGAACACAAACACACACACAAAACAAAGCACCCACAACACTCACAACACACACATGCGCATCCTAGTCGGCGGTTTCGGAGCGGACCCATCGAGGCCAAGCTTGCAGTGGGCTGCATCGGCAAAACTGGGCACAGGGGGCGAGAGACAACGCGGGGCGACGTGCACACACGCGGGGCAGAGCCCCCATCGGGCCGGGCGCAAGGGGGGATAGCAAAACGGGGGGTTTGAGAAATCAGCTCGCGCAACCGATCCTCCCGGCGCCTCCCGGCGCCGGAGGCGGCCACGCATCGAGGCATGGGCCCCTCGGTGGGGCCGACACCGGCTGCATGCAGCAGATTTCGTGGCCCCCCCTTTTCCCAACCCCCCCTTTTCTCGGGGGCTGCAAAGAGGGGGGTGTCCAAGAGGGCGGGGTGCAAATCATGACCGGCGGCACGTGCGCGGCCCAGCGGGGGGGCCAGGGACGTAATGAAGTAAGAAGAGGCGCCATGAAACCTGGAGAGACATCATGGCCCCGCCATGATGTCCACCCCCCCCTCGTCATCACCCCCCTCTTTCCCGCCCCCGACTGTCGTCCGGCCCGAGGCGTGCACACCCGGGGCAGCAGAGCCCCCCGGGAGGCCGCCCCTCCTGGCGGCCGGCGTCCGGTGCGGCGGCGGCTGCGGCCCGCCCGCGTGCGCCGGCGGCGGTGGCCCGCCTGCGCCCCCCGTCCGCTCTGCCTCCGCTCGTGCCGCTGCTTGGCCGTGCGCTTCTCTCCTCTGACTGCTCCGTGCATCCGGCGGTTCCTCTGCTCTGCGCCCTGTCTGGCGTAGTCCTGCTCCGCGCTCGTCCGTCGCCCTCCCTGTTCCTGCATCTTCCCTCCTCCTTTCTTCCTGCTCCTGCTGCCTTTCCTCTTCCTCCTCCTCCTCCTCGTTTTTGTTTTTTTTGTTTTTCTTCTTCTTCTTCTTACCGTCCCTCGTCTGTACCTATTCACGAGAGCAACGCCCATGCACGGACCATACTTGGACCCCCTGCGTGACCCGCTCCAGCGTGGTACGGCTCCAAATGCTTCGACTCGGAAGACCAACGCAACTGCACCGTACCATTCCTGGGTCGAAGATCGACGGCACCCTGGGAGACGCCGCCTCGGCACGGTGCACACAAGTCGTCCGCGGATTGTCTTTCTTTGTTCTGTAACCCCTGAAGCCCTGACGGGCTGGAGGGCTACAGCCGCCACTCCCGAGCACCACCTCTCATCACCTCTCACACACCGCGCGAATCCCCCACGCAGCTTCTGGCGGCGACGGCCTCGCGCGCACCGTCGGGGCGAAACACCCCCCCAAGCGGAGAGAGCGCGCGCGAGGCTGGCCCCTCGGAAGAACGGGCAAGGATACAATCGCATCAACAGGCACACGTTTCGTGAATGCCGCTGCCTCTTTTCGCACGCATCTCCTCTCCATCCTGAATTGCGAATGCATCCGTTGCGGACACATTGCGGCACCAGAGGGGGGGGGAGGAGGAGGAGGAGGAGGAGGAGGAGGAGGAGGAGGAGGAGGAGGAGGAGGAGGAGGAGGAGGAGGAGGAGGAGGAGGAGGAGCGAGCAGCAGGACGAGGAGGAGTTCAGTTCAGTTCAGTTCGCTCTGGGAAGTCCGAGCCTCGAAAGTGCCGCTACTCTGGACTTCTGAGCGTCGCCTTCGCGACAGTCTACTCTCTCATGGAAACCGTGCTGGCCACCATGCTCCCTCGAGCACCTCTCGCGCAGCCCCTCCAGGGCGACCGCCGTTCGGGCGCGCAGCCCTGGCGGATGCCCCTTGGGGGCCAGCGATTCAAGCAGAGCCTTCGCCCGTCCCACCCAGCTCACCACCCCCCGTCCCACGAGATGTCTGGCCTCGCGAACCTGCTCGCCATCTGTGCGTGATTCCTCCCCTCGGAGGGCGCACAGCCTCCGCATTCACTGCATCCCTAGAGTGTCCTCTCCCCCGTCCTTTCGTGGGGCAGGGGGGCATCGGCATAGCATCGGCATGAGTAGTCAGCAGTGGCTCAAGACCCCCACCTTTTTGCCGCGCCCCCTTTTGTCTTGGGGCGAGGCGTGGGAGGGGCAAAGACAGTGGGGACAGTGGGCAAAGAGACAGAGGAGTAAGAGACGAGGCGAGGAGATGGCGGAGCAAGAACACTAGATGGTACGAGGCCCCTCCGAATCAACGAGGCCAGACGATCACTCTGCTGCATCCACTGACTACTCACTTCTGCTGCATTTCCGTGACGACGCGCGATACCTCGCGCTCCAAGGGCCCCTTGGGTGCTGGACCCGCCACCCTCTCGATCTTCTGGATCCTGACCATGTAGCCGAGGGCGGCCGTCCACGTCGCACTCACGAGGGGATTATTCATCCACGCCGCCATGCTGAGGACCCACTTCGCGTCGGCGCTGTCCTTCCGAGCCTTCTTGCAGCGGAAGTGGAGGACGTCCGCGCCGATCTCGGACGGCGCCTTGTGCAAGATCACCGTCTCCCAGTACTCCTTGATGGGGCCGTAGATGCTCTCGTCCGCGTGGACCGCCCCCGCCTTGGCGAGCTCCAGGATGCGACGCAGCACGTTGATGAACACGCGCACGTACGGGGCGCCCCTCGAGCGGAAGTCCACCACCTCGCCGTTCTTCTGCTTCTGCTTCAGCTCACCAGAGGTCTTCTCGTAGTCGGATCCCGCGACGCGGCACACGTGCCCGATCGTCTCCTCGCCGTCCTCTGACACTTAGTAGCTCTCGTACACGGCCGACTCCAGCGTCGCGATCTGGCGGGCGCCCGTCAGCACCAGCTTCGCGAGCATGATCGCCCACATGCGGTGGTCGCCCTTGGGGCCACGACCTCCGCCCCCTCCTCCCTTGCCCGCCGCCTTGGCGACCTTCTGGTCGCGAGCAGGCGCCGATCCGAGGGCCTCCACCGCGGGCCTCTTCATCCACGACGGCGTCGCGGTCTCCGCCATGGCTGCGCCTGACAGAGAAGCTCGCGCAGAAACGTGTAGGTGCAAGTCGATCCCGCAAGATTCTCCACGGAAGGTGAACCAAAAGATGGCTACTGTAGGCCTGGTAATTCTCCCCCTCGAAAGGACAAACCTCGCAGCGAAAATCATCAGGAACCACGTAATTGGTAATAGACTTAGGCTCCCATCTCCCACAGCACCCTCTTAATATTGCATGATGTAGGTGACGGGATGCTGTAATTTTAGACCGAAATACCCGATCACAAATCGGGCAGTGGTTAGTCTTGGTCCGGACGTGGCCTAGGTTCCTTATGTGGTGCTGTGCTCGTAGATGATTCATAAGACCTTTGGCAGTACTGAAAACTTGTTGACATTGTTGCCCATCATCACCTGACGCTGTATATTCAAGTTCGGTACGGCAAGGGAGCTCCACTCTGGCGGGGGGACCTCGAACGACTTCCGACGATCACGAACCCGACGGAAGTCAATACACTTAAATTCCCTCATCACTTCCTCATCCCCGACCAACAACCAGGGGCAGGTATAAATGCGTTCTAATAGTTCCTCGTGGTCAGGGCGCGCACGGGGGGCTTCCTTGCAATCGAGACCGACACGTTTAGTCCATGGTGACGCCCACTCCGTGAGTCCTGACTCCGAACAAGGCCAGCGATCATTCTGTTCAAAAGGGAGGCCAGCAAACAACGCTGTCAATATCTGCACATGGTCATCCTGCGCAGAGGCCCAACCCTGATGCCGCGCCAGTCTCCTAGTTAGAAGCTCGATCGAACAAGTGGCAAGATCCCAATGCTGCAATACTTCTTCGGTGGACAACGATCTCTTCGAACCATCTTCTCTCTCCGTGCACGCAAGACCCTGCGTCGCTGAACGACCAAGACGAGCCGAGTGACGATCCATGACACTCAGCTGGTCCTCGCTCAAGATGAACGGCCCCCTGCCCGAAAGTAGGGGGCCTGGCGCCAGTCCGACAAAAATGGTTCTCTTCCACCGCTTCGGGGATCGCATAGCCCAGAACGAGCCCATGCTATAATGCGCTGACGTGGCAGCAACCAGACGCCTCTCAACTTCAGGTGCAGATGCTTAGGTAGGGGTAATCACTGGTCCGAGATAACGAGCTACATCACATGCAGACCCATCTAATCTCTTCTTCTTTACTCCCTCCTCCCTTATGTCATTTTTACATGCTGATCCGCCCATTCCCCCAATATAAAAGCTAGTACTCTGTTTTTGTCGATTTTGTACATCGCCAGCTGGACGAGACGCCTCGTCCAGAATCCAATCTGCCTCGTGGAGTTGTGAGAATGCCTCTTCCATGGGCGTGCCGACAGGGAACAACAGGGTGCGCAAGAGGTCATCGGCATATTTCGGATACGACATGTCCACCGGCCGTCCGCACCACTGGGCTTCAAGAGTTGGGCTGGGTCGACCCCGGCAAACAAGACCCCCCGAGAATCTCCAAGAGGCGATCTGGGATCTCCAAAAAATCTCCCCGCGGATCTTCAATCAATGTTGCGCCGGAAATAAAATCTCCAAAAAATCTTCGCATGTTGGAATCTCAAACGGAATCTCCAACAAATCTTCGCCACTTGAATCCCCTCGGAAAATCATGCGAAATCATCCGCGAAATCTCGTCTGAAATTTCCCGGAGATTTCCCGGAGATTTTCCGGAGATTCCCCGCTTTGATCGTCGGGTGGGTGTAAGTGCGGTAAGAGCGTTGTATATCCGATGAAATCGTTTCAACGAAGATGTATGTAGGTTCATGCTAGTTGACCTCACATATTCAACATATATAAAATATCGAACTTCGCATTCATCTACTTAACGTTTTGTTAGATAAGTATATTCAACAACATACCATACATACTACTCACAGAACCATCCATCTTATCAACTGAGCTATCGGGTACCACTGCCAAGATATATCGATACATACACCTCAACATACCCAACTTAGTAGCTAAGTCAGCTAAGTCGATGTGGGCTGTCCGATTCGGTTAACCCGAAATTTGCATAACTTTCTATGTTTTGCATGTTTGTTCTTGATATTGCTATGTTTCGGGAAAAAACCACAAAACACGTTTTAACAACTACAACACAACAGTTTTTCAGGACAGGGCGCCGCAGGTCGACGCGCCGAGCCGCCCTCAGGACGCCTGCGGGGCGCGGAGGGGAAGGGGGGAGAGGGAGAGGGGGGGGGATCAACTATTCTTCAAACTGCCTCCCCTCGGCGGCCATCACCGCCTCCCCTCTCCTCTCCTCGTTGTCGGCGGCCAGCCCGCCCCCGCTCCCTCCTGCCGCCTTCCCTCCCCGAGCCCGCCTTCCTTCTTCGGCGGCATATCCGCCCCTCCCTCCTGCACCTCTCTATCGAAGGGCGGCGCATCCGCCAGCGGCATATCCGCTCTCGCATGCGCTCGTTTTTTCCTTTTTCACGTGATGGCGAGCACATAGCCATCGTCCTGTAGTCGCCGATAAGCCGCCCAGGCTGGCGGGATCAGCTCGGCGGGCATCACGGCGACGTCGCCGCGCGGCCGCCACAGGGACGCGCCTGGGCATGGCGCGCGCACCCATTCCAGGGTCTCCACCAGCAGGTAGCTGGCGGCGCCAGCCTGCGCGCAGCAATGCACGATGTACGCCTCGCCGTCGCCCAGGAGAAAATCCTGAGGGCAGCAACGCCTCGATTTTTGGGGGGGCACACGCATGTGCACCCCTAAATACCAAGGTTGGTTGCGCCGTCTGTCCTGGCTGCCGTGCATCTGGCCGTCGATCGACGCCTCTCTGCTGGTCCACGTTTCAGCCCTGCGGAGGGGTTCCTCCTCCTCCTCCTCCTCCTCCTCCTCCTCCTCCTCCTGGCGGCGAGCCGCCTCGGCGGCAAACCGCCTTCCCCTCTCCCAGCCCATCTTCCTCCACAAAGGGCATGCAAGGTTGCGCCCCGAGTGCCCGAACGTACTGTCCAGCTCTGGCGTGCGCCACGCTTTGGCGCGGGAGCGCGGCGCCTCCTTCGCTTCCTCCAGGAAGCAGGCGAGCATCGCCGTCAAGGCCGACCGCTCGAAATTCTCAGGGTTGTCGATCTCCTGCGACCTGGACCGAAGCAGGTTGTGCTTCCGCTCGAGTACGAAGGCGTCCAACCAGATGCCGTCCTCCGCAGGCTGGTCGGGGACGTGCCACAAATAATGATGCTTCGGCTTGATCAGGGCTGGCCCGTGCGCGGCTTTGTGCAGCGCCAAGGAAATCGAAACGGCCTTGGTCCAGACAGCTATCAAATTCGGCACGGCGCCGATCCTCAGGACGTAGCCGAACCGCCTGCCACCTAAGCGCTCGAGGATGCGCGCGGGCCGACGCGGTGCATCCTCGAACGCGCAGGCCAGCGTTTGCGTTTCAGCTGCGGCCGCATGTCCTTTTGCCCTGCATGTACAATTCGAGCATCTTCGCCATCGCCTCGAACGACCGCGCCGCAGCGTTCGCCATGCCGCTGGGACGCAGCTCTGTGTGCACCCAATGACGAATCAAAGGGAACACGGCCAAGCAATCCGACGCCTTGCCCACGAAGTGCGACGCCTTGCAGGTCGCTTTCTTCCGAGCCACGCTGAACAGAAACGCTGGCGGTTTCCTGCCGCGTCTGCCAGTCCGCCACGCCGAGCAGCGATCCCGCCACGTTCCCCACGCGTCGGGGATGACATCCCTCACCGCCTTGAGGAGCGCAAAGATTTCGACCTGCAAGGTCCCGCCGCTGGCCAGCATGGTATGCATGGGGTCCCTCACGTATGTGCTCGGCGGCGCCACCGTCCGCAACGCCTGGCACGCCACCAGAGAACGGTCATCCAGAGTGATGCCCATTGCCGTCTCCTTCGGGGGCCGGAACATCAGAAGGGAAGGAAGGGGGGGACATCAGAAGGGGATCGATGGAAATGTTTTCCTCCCTGGCTCCAGTCTCTCGATGTTCGCTCTGGTTGTCGTGTCCCGCAGCGACGCCAAATCATCATATTGCTGCAAAAACTCGTCTGACGACAGCGGGTCAAAGCGCGACGAGTCAGCGCACCAGAGAGGCACGAGGTAATCATCGTCGTCGTAGTCTGCAAGACATTCCGCCTGATCCAGCACAACGTTCTTGCATTGCAAGCACGGTCTCAGACCTGCAGCGCCCTTGGTGCAGAATGTCTCTTTTCCAGCCGCCTCGTCTGCAATCAAGCGGTGGAACTTGGCGAAAAAGTGCACGCCGCCGATTGGCGCACCGTGCTCCGACAGACTCTCTGGGCCCAGGAACAGCGCGCGAAGCAATGCCCGCGCCACGGCCGAGCCGCCGATGCTCTTCTTCACGACGACGCGCAAGGTGCCGATCGGCAGCCACGCAACCTCCTTCTGCAAGAAGGATCCGAACTCGAGGAAACTCGCATACACCGCGAGCTGATTCCGACGATTATCTATCTTCAAGGCGTTGCCCACGCCAATGTCGTCGTAGTACAGCAAAAGCCTCCACGGCCGATCGCGCGACACAGGGAAACGGCGCATCGCTTCCCAAAACATTGAACTCCAGAGAGGGCAGTCCGACAGGAGCCTCGGCATCAGCCGATGCGGCAGCGCCACGCTCCATCGGAAAGGCGTGCCGATCTTGGGCTGCAGCCGCACTGCGCTGATGAGATCGGCCACGGATGCCGTCTGCGATCGCTGCATGGCCCGAGCGCTCACGTCTATAGCATCGCCCGCGTCGTCGCCATGGCCAAGCGCAGTCACGATTCGCTCGAGCAAAGCCGCGGACACGCCGCGCAGGGCCAGACACTGTTGCAGTCGAGCCCGCTGCTCCACCTGCTTGTCCACCTGCAGGGCGCGTTTCCCCATTGCGCCGACGCCCGCGCGCGGGAGGGGCGGGGGCGGGGGGCAGCGCGAGGCCCAGCGCGGTTGAGAAAAACGAATTGCAGCCAGAGAGACGGAAGTGGAGGCGGGAATGGATCGCGGGGCGGAGTAGCCGCCGAAGGGCATGGCGGTGTAG